ATATATATACAGAGTGTCTTAAAAAAAAATGGCCAAGCTGTCATATGTAAGTGGAACGAACTAAACTGAGTCGAAAAATTCTGTATTATTTTGCGATTTTCGCTGCGATAGTTAACGAGTTATTAATTTATGAAAATATAATTTATCAAATTATAAGTGCACGTGTTTGCCGTCGCTAGGCACGCGTGGAGTTGTTGATTAGCCGCATTGGCTACGCTTTCTTCTGTTATACATACGTTACGTGCACCTGGCGTGCTCCACCGTGTCTCACTGGGCAGTCCTATCTCACCGCGCGTTTGCAATTTGGCTATTTTCATAAATTAATAACTCGTTAATTATTGTGAAAATCGCAAAATAGTACAGGACTTTTCGACTCACAAGGGATCTGTCACAACTGTTTGGAACCGATTTGATTTCTGAATTCTCCTTGAAATATGTTATTTAACACAAAAACCTAAAAGACACGTATTTTTTTATATGTGCCCAATCGAAGTTTTAAGGGATGAAACAACCCTTCAAAGGCTAACTTATATTTTTGATTTGATTTCCATCAATTATCAACAAAACGGTGAGATATATAAAAAAATGTTTTAGACAAAACTTTTATTATTTCTTATGTACTTTATAACTGTATATTTAGATTTTTTTTAAATGTAATATTTTTGAAACTACTCCCATTCCTCGTTATTATTTTTACGTAATTTAAATTTTTCCTACGAATAAAAATTAAAGGGAATTTTATGCCAAATTCAACCGTATATAATAAAATTATTTTACAAAGTCGCATTTTTCAGAAATAACCTGAAAACGTTGCTATATGTATCGTTTGTGCTTTTATGTAGCACTTGCGTGGCAAAATTGTGTTTCTGCTTTATGTATTACAAATAATAACAATAATAATTTTGATTGTTTTTTTTTAATTATACATATAAAAACATTCACTTCTTTCATTCGTTTTCATATATTTTATTATTATGGTACCTTAAATTTAAAATTATTTTTATTCGTTTATGCGAATAAATAGTTATTTATTTACTCTTATTTGTTTACATTATCTTTATACACTAATTCCTAAACGTACTTCATAATATAATCATTTTTTGATGTTTAAAATGCATTTATTTTGTAATTTATCACACAAATTTATCAATTTTTTATTATGTTTTTTATAAATATTAAAATAATTATGTTATTATATATTATTTAGCCATTCTAAAGAATACTCCTATTGTTTTAAGAAAAGTTACATCAAAAGAGTAAAAATTAAGTAATAATATTACTCTTAAAATACGTGTTTGTGATATAAGAAGTGATAATAATTTCATTAACCATATCATCATTATACAATTATCACAAAATATGTTATTGTTTATCTTTTGTATCGGAACGTCTTTCAAACTGACACTTTTTAAGCTTAAGTGCATTCTTAAAGATAGGTAAATCCAATGTATAAATACTAGCAGATTTGCAGTTATAGTCAGTAAAGTCACTTTGTTATAATGTATTAAAGTGCTTTAATGTATATTTCTATAGAAGAACAAATTAATAATGATTTTTAATCCAATTAATATTGTCAGGCTTTTATTAGCCTTCATAAGTTCGATATATCTTATGGAAACGCCAATAATTGAAGCAAAAATAGAATTGAAAGAAAACATTCAAAAATTATTATTAGATAGAATAGATTATTAGATAGTTTTTCATTACAATGGAAATAACAGAAGAAATGTGTCTCGATTTCCAAGAATCTTATAAATTGTATACATTTGAAATAATTGAGGATGATGAGGAAGCATGAAGCGAAGATAATTTAAATACTTATGAATGTTTGAGTGATAATGTGCACTTTGATAATTCTTATAAAAGGCGAGCTGTTGGATATTGGTGAAAAATATGACACTAACAATGAAGATAATGTAAATGATAAAAAGAGAAATCGCTCTTTAAAATCCGTACAGCATAAATTTAGAAGAGTATCATCCGAAATTGAGACGATGGGAAGAACAATTACAATCACATGGAAATCATGTGGAAAAATTATCCTACATTTACACATAATAAATTTACCGCAGCTGTTTAATCAGACTATATAATTCCATGATGTTGATTTAAAAAGGTGGGCTCTACAGGTTCAATAAGAAATAGGAAATTTAAATCCTATGTTCAAAGTATCTGATAATTGGATAGCAAGATTCAAAAAGTCCTATCGAATTGTTTCAAGAAAAATTATAAAGTTTGTCACTAGAAAAACACTGAAAGATTCAGTTGATCAAAAAAAATCAAAGATTTTTTAAAAACAGTAAAACCTCTTATTGAACAGTTCGGATCTGAAAATATTTCTAATTCAGATCAAAGTAGATTTTAATTAGAAATCCATTCCGGAAGATTACTATCTGATCAAGAAATAAAGACAGTAGAGCGTATTATACAATTTATATCATCGATAACGTATTCATACAACCAATAATATCATGTGATGGTAGATTACTATCCCCTTTATTTATTATATTACAAGAAGTTAATGGTATGTTTGGACCAAGAGTGGAAGAAAATTTATTCAGACAATAAATGTATTGTGAAAGCATCAAAATCTGGTAAAATGACAGGTATACACAAGGTATACACAAATAGGTATACACAAATTTCAATTGTCTTTTATAATTATTTTAGAAATCTAATAAAGTTTAATGTTATTAATTTAAATTATTTCGTATAAATCATTTTAAATCTTGGTTACAAGAAGTTTTCTTTCTAAATGTTGATACTGATAGTGTTCTTATTGATTCTTAGAGTGGACATTGTCCCGATATTGTTTCTGATTTAATATTAACAGAAAAACGCATTAATACAACGATAATTCTAAAAGATATTACAGGAAAAATACAACCATTAAATGTTTATGGATTCCGGATTTGGAAAAATTTTGTTAAAAAATTTTCTGACCGTTTTATTATTGGAAAGTAATATAAATTTACATCAACGAAATAATATAATAAAATTACAATCTTTGATACATAATCAGTTATCATGTCCTTGATATCAATTTATTTAAATATTTGTGATTTAAAAGTGGATATACAAATGAAAAACCGGAAGAATTTAAAATTCAGTAAAATTTAATTTTGAAGAAATTTTAACAACATATGATATCGAAAATTGCAACAATATATCTGTAGTAAGATGTTCTTGGTGTAAAAGATCATTATGTTTAAAGCATTTTTTTGTGGAATATCATTATTGTAATATATAATGAATGATGTAATAATATAATAATAATAATATAATATATAAATTTTATTATATGAATAAATGACTATGTTATTAAGTTAATATATTAGGAATTAATGTCTATAAAGATAAGAAAATAAAGTGTAAAGAAATAAAAGCGTAAGCGAACAAAAATAATTTTAATCTTAAGATACCATAGCAATATAACATATCAGAAATAAATGAAGAAGTGGATATTTTTTATATATGTAATTATGTTATATGTTATATATGTAATTAAATAAAACGAATAAAAATTATTATCACTATTACTTGTAATACATAATGCAGAAAAGCAAAAGCATTTGTAAGCAAATAAAAATAATTTTAAACTTAAGATACTGTAATGATAAAATATATGAAGAATGAATGAAAGAAGTAAGTAAATGTTTTTATAATTAAAGAAAAACAATGAAAATTATTATTGTTATTATTATTTGTAATACATAAAGCAGAAATACAATTTTGCCGCGCAAGCATAAAAGAACAAACATAAAAGAACAAACGATGCATATAGCGAGTTTTCAAGTTATTACTCAAAAATGCGATTTTGTAAAATAACTTTATTATATATGGTTGAATTCGGCATAAAAGTCCCTTCAATTTTTATTCTTGGGAAAAATTTAAATTATGTAAAAATAATAATGGGGAATGAGGATAGTTTCAAAATATTACATTTAAAAATCTAAATACACAGTTATAAAGTATATAAGAAATAATAAAAGTTTTGTCTAAAACATTTTTTATATATCTCACCGTTTTGTTGATAATTGATGGAAATCAAAATATAAGTTAGCC